AAATTTTTTTTTTTTTGTGTGGCTGTGTAATTATACATTACCACACAAATGTTCAACGATTTATAACTAATCAAAGAACATTAACCAAAAATAATTATAACGTATGACAAATTAATGTAATAATTACTAATAAATATACAATAATTAGTAAATCTAAATAAATATTTTTAAAATAATTAATTGATACATCTACACAAGATCAAAATATAATTAATTAATCCATATTTTTGTTGATTACATTCAAAACTTCATACAAAATTTGAACAAAAACGATTAACGATGTGGTAGTAAATTGTCTTGTGTCTATCGGAATATATGAGCGTGTTAAATACATGTAAAAAAACCTTATACCTGTAATTAGTAACAACGCGACGCAAAAATGATCTCCGCGCGCGCGCGCGCGCGACGAGGTACGTGTTTATTTAACAATATTTATATTACACGAGTAAAGATATTTGCATGTGTGAGCGTATTGAAACAAGAGCGTCAATCGCAATTTGAAAAAGTCGTTTGACGTCAATTGAAATTAATTGACACTCCGTCGACGAATTACTTACCGTGCGATTACCGGAAGACTGATTGGTCACAAGCACTGATTACAAATCACGGGAGTGACACGAGAGCGAAATTTTATGTTTTTTTATGCTTTTTACGTCACAAACAATGTCTGTATCCATTTATTAAGTGCAATTTGTATTTTTTGCGCGTTACCCGGGGACACAATAAGCCGCTACGACCGGCTTCATTACGAGACCGAAAAGTTTTTGGTGTACCTCGCCGGTTCTTTGTGTCCCGATCACGTTTTGTGATCACGCTCGCACGGAGAATACGAGATTTGAATCGGCAATAACTAGAGGAAATTAGAAACTTACTTTTAGATAAAAAAAAAAATAAAAACAAAACAAATTTACTATCGCATTACAGATCGTATTTATTTAAACCTACACGAATGACAACTTGTAGTCCTGTCGCGTCGGAGAAATAGAAAGATGAAAGCTGATTTGAAGCTGATGACACATTAGCGAACAGACGACAAGATGTGTCAATATCTTATTTATACGAATTTTTATTTCTTTTTTATTATCAATTCATTGCGATAATTTATTTATTTATGTTTTACTTGCCATAAAATAGAAATTTACGAACAAATAAATTCACAGACGTGTGAATTTATGCGAAATTATTCAAATGATGATTAATGTTAGAGCCGATTTTATGTGTACATATAAACACGTAATTTTGCATCACAAATATCTTTTTTTTTAATTATAATTAAGAAAACACGTGTATTAACATAATATCAGAAATCGTAATATTGTGAGAAATTTCGCGAAGATAATGCGTTTAAGATAAGATAATTGGTTGGTCTCAAAATGGAGGTGTCATGCCGAAAATCGTGTACTAAGTACGGAGAGGGAAGGGCGAAATCTTGGCGGTTCCGCCGCTCCAGTGAACAGTCAGAAATCGGCGCTCGATCAGTAAAGATTGCTTTCAAATCGGTCAAATCAAAGATCGCGTATTATTCGCTGATCAGTCGCTCGATAATAGTTTGTTGTTTGTCCACGCGAGTGCGACACGCGTGTGTGTAAAATCATCATGTTTAATAATTATTTAAATAAACGTTTTTTTTTTTCATTTTTAGCGTACATGTCATTTATTAATTCTCTCATTAGTTCATTCGCACAGGGAGAGAACGAACATTAATTTATCTTAACATTTTTCCTACAATATCGAGTACGATCACGATTCGAAGACACACCTCGAAGACACGCGCGCGTTGCATTTTATGTGGCGAAAATATTCAAAGCGGTTGCACATCACGTGATGCAAGTCGATAATCGTGTTATTTTCGTTTCACGTAAATGTGACAGCACATTTTTTGCACAACGAGTATTACGAAAATGTAATCCGTGTCAACAAGCGTTGCGAAAGTGTCCTTCTTTTCTTTCCTTTCCAAGTTTAAGTAATTTCCACACTCACGGAGAATGTACGGGAGTGTCGATGTTCTATCTCGGTGGTGTTGTGCAAAGATTAGACTTTATTCGGAAGAAGAAAAAACAAAAATGAAATACGATCAAGTTTTTTTTCGGCGCGTCGTTACGAGAAAAACACGACGCGTGATGTGTTCACTTTTGGTAGCGTTTATTTATAGGAATGAAGTCGTGTTTTTCTGGCAATGTGCAACAAAAAAATAATTGTGCGCTAAATATGTACGTGATTTGAGTCAAATAATATATTCGTATTGTTTTTATATTTAGTGAACGGAGGTGGGAAAATAGCGACGAGTTGTATTGTGGCATATTCGGCTGTGAGCTTGTTACTGGTTTACTTTGTATAAACCGCAAGTTTTGTTTGAGAGTGACTGCGGTTGTTGCAATTTAATTTTATAATTGAGGTTTTTTCACCCCAGCGGTTTTCAAAATGGAACTAATTGAAGAACAGAGCGCGTCTGTGTTTAGAAATTTTGTTTTAAAAACTCGGGAAAAAAGACGGAAACATGTGAACTTTCGAAAACTTCGAATCGAACCACGTGTTTCGAATGGATCAAACGCTTTTAATTGGTTTTGTCACGAAACTCACTGATGAAAAAAGATTTTTTATACAAAGCAAAGTAAATAAACTCGCAACTGAAAACAATATCCCGTCACTATTTTTCTCCTCCGCTCTTTGATAAATTTCTGATAAACAGGCGCGAACCGAAATTATTCCATCAAATCACGTAAATACCGCGGGCGAGAGAGATAGCAACATCCGAAACTTGGAGTTTGTCACTTTATCATCATTCATAATTTTTAACGGAGATTCCGCGAGCAATTCGCGGTTAATCGAAGCAGGAACTTGAACCGTCGAAGTAAATACGTATCGTTCACGCAATAAGAAGGGCAAAGTCCGCACGGGTTAATCATCCTTGATAACATGACAACGGTGACGAAGAAACAATGTGGAGAGAAATTTCGCTCGACCGTGAATCGACTTTGTTCCCGACCGATAACTGATAGCTCATTAATTAAGATCGATTAACACACTCAACCGATCCGAAAAATTGCTCGGCAAGCGACGATTGTCAACCTTTTAATCGGCTCGAGACCGGAGCCGTGAAAACACCGAAAAATTAAATCGCTGATCGTTGCTTTGTGGCGATTCCGCCGATCAATTCGCGCAGAAACGCTGCGCGGCGAAATGTCAAAATGCGTTTCTCAGCAAATGAATTGAAATGAGTCAAGTTTTGATACGAAAAAGTGAGACATTTGTAAAATACAAAAAAAAGAAGAAACAAATGTTCAACGCTGACAAACTTCATTCGGTGATAATATATCGCGCGCAGACTCCGGTTTTGTAAATTTCCGAACTTGGTGGACTTTGATTGGATAAGATAACGCGTAAAACAAAAAATAAGAATTACGATGAACGCGGATTCGAAACAAAGTTCATACATACATGTATGAGCTAATCGTACATTTAATCGTAAGTTTGCAATTATACACAATACGATCGCGTAAATCGATTTAATAATTAAAACATTATTTATTACAAGTGTTTCAAATGAAAAAAAAAACTGTTTTTATCAAACTCTCGATAAAAAGATTATTTATGTGTACATTACTCTCAATTCCAAAGTTTTTGTGATAAACGGAAAAAAACAACGGATATATTCTTATTTTCTCAAGTTAAAATTATAAAAAATTTAACGTCTTATTGTTTGACTGCGCAGTTTCAAACGACGATAGTCGACTATTTTATTTGTTTTTATTAATTTTAGCCATTACGTACTGGATACAAAAATAGTATTGAAAATTAAAATTATTATAAATCATAATACAGATATATTATTGTAAAATAAAAATATATAATTTGGGGGTGTATCCGGGGTCCTTCATATACGAGATGCAAATCTAGCATCTTATGATTTAAATAATGGAAATTACAATTCAAAAACTCACATGAAAATGTGAATTCGTTTATATATGTACACATATGTATATATATATATATAGACATATTCTCTGCACAACATCCAGCGAACGGCGCTTCAAGATCAATTATATTCATTGATAAGTTTAAAGATTTAGAGCCCGAGATGATTCTCAGTTTATTACTAATTGAAAAATATAATTGTTGCAAAATTCACTCACGTGGTCTTGTTTGAGATGAAATAATTATTTTGCGTCACCGTTAAATATATGTAATAAATCACGTTTTAATTATCTTTCAAAGATATTCTCGTTCTCGAAACCAAGTTTATTAATTTATCACGAAATAATTGTGCGCAATAGTACATGGTATTAATTTATATAAGGATATATTAATTGCCCGCGTGTGTTAAACGTTAATTGTATTTATTCGTGCGCGTGCAAAGGCTTATTCTCTTCATTACAAAATATTAAACATAAATTTGTTATAGCGCCGTTGTTCAAAACTTTGTTATCTCCCAATGATATTTGATGATCGACGATTAACGCGGATGCCACACGGATGAGATAATCCGGAACAAAACATCGACATAAAAGCAATAGACACAAAAAAAAGTTCTACACTGACAATGTTTCGTCGTTAATCATCATTGCAATGACACTTGTTCAATCTTTTTTCTTGCGCGAATCATCGGCTGAATTTTTGTTTGTTTGTTTGTTTGTTTGTTTTTTTTTTTTTTTTTTTTAGAATCACAGACGAAGGTTGCAATGTGCACAGCGCGTCAAAAATTCACGGAGTAGACGTGAAGGTCTAGAGGCAAAAGCAGCAGTTTCTCTTAAAGAATAAATAACGCCAACGAGCACTGTACCAGCTAACTAGCTGGTAGAGAATATACTAGAGAATATACTAGAGATACTAGAGAATCGTTTATTCGCACAGCAATCGTTTATTCACACCTGTGTTGCGTTATTTATTCTTAAGAAAAACCGTTTCTCTTGCCCCTAGATCTCCGCGCCTACTTCGTGAATGTTTGACGCATTCGTCATGGACTTTCGAGTCGCGTTAAGTGCAAGATCGCATCAGAAAAAAGATTGGAGAGAAATTTATTTTATTGATTGTCGACTTTTTTTTATTGTGATGCAAAAAGATGTTTGTTTCGTCGGTGTATTTATGCGGGAATAGAAATTGCGCGTTTTTTGTTGCTTTCGACCGTATAATCTTCCGCAAAACAACTGAAGAGGAAAACCGATATTGAAAAAAAAAGATACTTAATTTGCTCATTCGGAGCTTATCTGATGACCTATTGTGTGAGAGAAGAGGAAACAACGTGATTTTAGGAAAGATCTGGAATGAATCTGTGCAAATGTGAACGAGGTTCAAATTCCGAGGTAAATTTAAATACAGCCTCTCTCTCCATATGGCACATTAGTCTTGTTTCTTAATTTTTTATATTCAGCATATTATTTTTCATATTTTATTCTTAATGTCATGTTATATTTTATATTCATCTATTTCTCATACTCTCCATTTTTCTTATTTTTATTTTATTGTATATACTTTTATTAAGTTTGTAGTTATTTTAAGTTTGTTAAGTTGCGCTTGAGGGGACCTGTCCCAGAGCGCCTAAAAAATAAAGCATCAATCAATCAATCAATCAATCTCTCATGTTGGCAGCGCGCGGTCGGCCTCGAACGGAATGATTTATTGATAAATGATTATCGGTTTAGTTATCGGTTCGGTATCGATATTATCAAAGAAAAAAATCGCGTTTCGCGAGTAGTCTTCAATCTTGTCCGAGAAGCTATAAAATTGGTGTTTTCTTTGTTTGAATTCGTCGAAACTTTGTTTTCAGAGTGTTGATAATTTTAACTTGAAAGCAATCTATTATGCAAATGTGAAGAGAATTTAAATTGTTTTTAGTTTAAACGCGAACAACAATATTATCGAGTTCTCGAGAGACTGACATTTTTTTAATTTACTGCAATTTCTCGTTTTACTTCTCGACTTCGCAATTGACGTATCTTCGAAAACTACATTCATTATTTATTTTCATTATTTATTTTGAACCAAACGCATATACAGCAAGGTCCAATTATCTATTGACATTTTGTTTTGCAAAGTGGTGCTTTACGCGTGCTGCTGATTACGCGATTCAACCTATCGAAACGACATAAAATGCAGAGATACGGTTCAGCGAGAATAAAATAAAGTCGTCATCAAGAGCGTGTGGGTCGGAGTGACAAAAGTGATTAAACTACCGAGTTCTGACGTTAATGGTGATCATTTATAATAATAATAATACATATTGTTCCAAATGTAGAAGTTTAATGTGAGCAAGCACGTCGCATTGTCTGTTGCGTGCGAGCTACAAAAAAGCTATTGCAGGCGTTTCTCTGTGTGTCATTTTCTAAATTTCATTACTCGTGTTGCTGTACATCTGCGTTTCTCCCGATAGGACGTGAAGCTTGAGGGGGTTTCTGTTTTTTTTTCCAGTTTTTAATTGCAAACATATTGTGTACATGTATGCGAGAGAAAGGTTACCACGCGAATATAAAAGTGCATGTGTACAATTTTGCCAGTAACTCACCGGTGAATTCCGTTGCTGAGCAGTCCGTTCTGGATGCTTTTTTTTCTGCCCTCCACCATGATTGCAGTCACGCCGTTGTGCACAAACGATTTGTAAACGCAAAACTGAAATTTCAACAAGAAACAATATTTCTTCGTAATCTACATAGACGGTGGATGCAAATCTTATTGTGTGGTTGTTTGCGCAATGATTTTCTCAAAACGGTCAAGTTTAAAAGAGTCTCTGCTTTGACACTTTTTTTTGTGCCTCGTTAAAAAATTTGAACTTGCCAAGAGAGAGATTTTGTTTATTACATAATTGTTTTTTTTTTTTTAATTCTTAGAAGAATATACGCGCGCTTTTCGTTAATTTTGTCTCATGATGACAGATTTAAAAATATTTGTGAGTGGGGCTTTAGTTTTGCGTAATAAATTGATCTTTTTGAATAATGTTTATATAAATTTTATTAAAGACAAATATTGTAAATATATAATCAATTTGAGGAAAGTTCGTCTTGTGCAATTTATTTTTACAGGCACGCTGTCTTGTTAATTTTATTTATGTTTCAAAGATGAGAGCATGTAACACATTCGCGGTTACTTGGTTTTTTTTCTTTTTTTTTGACGTAGTATTACGCACTCTCACATCACGTGCACTATTTCATAGTTGACCACAGTTGACACAAGATTTATATCCTTCTTTCAATTTACATTACAATGTTTATTAAAATACTTTCTCTTAAATAATGGAGTTATTTTGCATTTGCTGAAAGCACATGCTTAGAGCATTTAATAGATAGAAGCAGGGAGGAAATGAATCACCAGTATAAAAAAAATTTTAAAAATGAAAAAAAAATAAAAAAGGTTAAAGATGTTGAAACTAATGATTTGCAATCGCACATATCGAATATAAAAACTTATCGCAAACCGAGAAGATACCAAGGACTTCAACGAACGTGATTACGGATCATTGAATATGAGACTTGACGAATCAGATCAGAAAAATATATAAAAAATTCCGATCGCACACAGTTTGCACGAGAAAAGAAAAGACCGAGCAAATGTCATTGCGATGGTTAATGACGATAAAACATTATCAGTGTGGGACTTGTTTTGTATCTATTTGTTACTTGTCGGTATGTATTAAAATGCGAATAAAGTAAAATATATGTAACTAACTTTATATAACTTGACAAATATATTTGCCGAGTTTCATATATTTGCATATATTTGCCATACTCTTGATAATCCAATAATTCGCTGTCACAAAAGAGTCAAGGCTGTATTTCTTGTCGCACATACAATCGCAGCAACATGTGCAACGTCGCTACACCGACCACAACGAAATATTACACACAATAATACCGTTACAGAGTCACTACATGAATGAGGCACAAAGACTGAAAATACGGGGCAGTGTACTTTTGCATACAAGCTGTCGTATCATCTCTTTCTTATCGCCGCAGTAAAATCCATCTCTGTCAGGACTGAATTCATCCTCAAGTACATTTTTCGCTAAAGTTTTGATCGCGCAATTATATATTTCCAGTTATTTGTACGTTATAAATGTGAATTATTTTAGTACACTTAATTATATTAATTTAATTGTTTTAGTAAGTTTTGCTTCAGAGTTCACTGAAAATCTATAACGCACGCGACGTGAACTGTAGGTATTCCGTGTCAAATTTTGTGAGGAAGTTGCTGCGACAAAAAAAAAGATGCGCACGTGCGTGCGTGCGCTTGTCACATCTATTTATATCGTGTACAAACATCAGGTTCCACGTGAAATGTCGATTATAAATGCAAATGCACGGACGGAAACGCCGGATGATATATTTACCCAAGTCAGTCGCGCTCTTCACGAGAGTCTCGTTCCGGAAGCGTCGCCACACAAAGTTCCTAGCGCGTCGTGCGTGCGTGCGTGCGTGCGTGCGTGCGTGCGTGCGTGCGTGCGTGGGAGGACGGATATCTTGCGGTGCTCACGTGCGTGCCAATTCGCGCGACGCGACGTTCACGCTACACTAAGCTAAGACCAATCGATCTAGCGCGGTCTCATGCTTTTTGATCCGTTTGCTCTCTCTCTCTCTTTATCTATCCCCAGTGTACGTCCTCGTGCCGCTCGGCAGATCGCGCGCACTTGATTGGTCGCGGAGATAAAGCCTTTCTCGAGGCACCGTGAAACTTTGACTCCGTCGCTTTGGTCTCCCGACCCCACTAGCCGCCCGAGGCGAATGCGCTACGCAAATACAAGCCTTTGATCGGTCACATACGCGCGCGCACGGGCGGATGCCCTGGTAACAAGTCAGCTGACTAGATGGTGTATACGCTGTGCGGCAATGAATTGATTTCGCGAAAAGAAGGGAATTCTCTTTCTGCGCGCGGTTCTCCTTCAGCCTGGCGATTGGCTAGAATCAACTCTTGCGATTTCGATTCATCGCTCGAGCGACGAATCGAAATTGCAAGAGTTGCTTCTAGGTGACTGTTGAAAGTCAGTCGCTTCGTTATCGACTCTCAGTCGTCGTCGCGCGGAATAAATTTAATTTCTTTGACGACTGGTTTGTGAAAAATTAAAAAACGGAGGCTTGTAGCTCATTTGCGTAGAACAAAGAGACATTACTCTCGTTGACGACGAACGATGTCAACGATTTCTTCTTCTTAACTATCGATATTTGATCTCGTACCGACATCTGCATGTCGCGCGGATAATCTTCAGCGACCGTCTTCTTGGAACGCGAGCAAGACGACGCAAATAGATTAATCACGTTCTTATATACAGAGTGACGCAGAAACACACGTGTAATGAATTAGTTTATTAACATGGTAAAATTAGACAAGATCCGCATACAACGGCGAAAATGCTGCATTGTTTTGAAATAATACAATTAAATGTAAAATATTTAATGTAAAAAAATCTTTACTGTAGAAATTTATAAAATTGGAGAGAATTAAATTGCGCTTTCTCGCGTGATCTTTTGTTGTCCAAGTCACGCTTCCGGTTCTTCCAAAAATGTCATCGCAATTAACGAAGTCTCCTGGCTTCGCGCTCGGATTCCAACAGCGTCAGGATGTCTCCCTCGCGAACCGGACCCTTTACGTTTCTGATGAGCTGTCGATTCTGCTCGTTCAGGAACTCCACTTTTACTTGCGTGCACTGTCCCTGAGATCCGGTTCGGCCGAGGACCTTCACCACTCTCGCGCGAACTATGGGCTTCTCCATGCTTCACGGATTTCTGCAATTCACTCACATAGTTAAGGTTTAAAAACACATTATCGATATGCATATATATGTTCACGTATCGGATATTTTATTGATACCGTTTTCGCGCATGCGAAGGTCCAACACTTTCGTCCACCGCAACACTGAATCGGCGCCGGTCGCTTTGGTCCACACTTGGGGATCAAGTGACATTTTGATTGTGTTCCAAGTGAAGAGAACGCGCGCCAAATAAGGATACTCAAAGAAAGTCCTCTAAGAAAATTGCGAGGACAATTTAAGACACTTTGTGCGCATCTCTCAAGAAAGAAATACGAGAAAGTGTCTTAAGTTTATGCGTTGCTTGAACTTATTCGATATCGTGCGAAGTTTTCTTGTTTAGTGATAAAATGTAGCGGCACAACACCGGCGTGTCTCTCAAACGCTTAAAAATAGAACTGGTCTCCATTGGCCGCGCGGGTGGTCACGTGCCTTTCTCGGTTTCAAATTTTGCGCGATTTTCGTTGCAAAATTCTCAGTCTCGCGCGCTCAACAATGTTGTCGATTAAACTATTGCAGAGGATCGAGAAATTCATCATATCATCATTTATTTGTGCTTTATTACGAAATTGTAACGTTTCTCTGCTAAAACTGAGATACGAAGATTACAATGTAAGTTTTCGATTTGTTCGAAGCGTCGATGGTGTTTCTTATCGCGCGCGCAAAAAAAAAACAAACTTTTGTTTCGAAGAAATAAAATTTTTCCGTACATTCGCGCGCGCGCGCGTGCCATACACATACACACATAGTCACACGACATTTGCATATTCTCCTCCGTTTATATAAAAATTATAGTACTTGAAAAAGAATGTCGCAGAGAGATCACGTATATGTGTGGTCTGACGTACGTGGCACGTCAAGCACGCGCGCGCGCGCGCGCGTGTGTGTGTGTGTGTGTACGCGCGTTATTATACACATGATGTGATTTTCTACAAGCGATTAATTGCAAATTTTTCTGTGCTGCGCACACGTCTGCGAAGCGTTTTTTCGCGCGCTCGCTCGCAAAGTTTTTGAACACGCAGTGCGCACGTATTTTTAGGTAACGCACAAAACAAATGATTTTTTTTTACGAAAATACATTAAAACGCAACTTAAAAAATATTCAATCTTAAATCCGATAAACTCGAAACACCTACGTATGAAAGACACATTTAACGATCGATCGGGGAGTATCGATTAGTTATATCAAAAATATCATCACCACAAAACCAAAATTCGACGCGTTTTTATTAACTATGTATTAAGTATGCCATTCAACTTAAATCCTATAAGTATTTTTACCGCGTCAGGTGTGTGATAATCTTGACAAAAGTCAACGTAAACAAAGTAATGAAACAACTACGAGCTACGAGTGTAATAAAACTGCTAGTACGAACAAAAAAAAATACTGGTTTCTCCGTCACTTATTTGGATAACAATCGCCGCACAATGGCGAAGAAAACGTATCTGGTACCAACAAACACGCGGGTTGGTGCGCGGGTCTTAACGGAAAATATTGCGAGCTACCGATGCGATGGATGAGATGTAAAATTGACTTTCATGATTAGATTCTATTACCTCGCAGTGTTTTTTCCTATCGCTACAATTCATTTACTGATGTAGAGAAAACAATCGGGACATGGTTCCTGTCGTTATTATTTATACATCATCTCTATTTTTGTCTCTTACGTACTCTTATCACGCGCACGACAGCTCCGCATCTGATATCTCTCTCGACTTGTAAAAAAAAGAAAAAAAACAACTCTCCGCTTTCTTCACGAGATCAAATTTGTAATTGCTTCTCTCGTATGATTTGCATTTGTTTTTGTTACACGTCGATTTACAGCCGCGTAACAATATTACAACATCAGCATTATTAGTTGAACATTTAAATCGATTCCGTTGAGTCTCTCACTCATCTCGTCAGTCGTTAAAATGATAATCCGCAGAATGTAATATCGCGCGTGTAGGCCGCAGAAAGAAATTTGTATTTATAAAAACTCCGTTCGAGTTAAATCACATTACATTCCGTCAGAACGCACACAGACGCACTCTCTTGTCTATTTTTTCCTCTCTCTCTCTTTCTCTCTCTCTCTCTCTCTCTCTCTCTCTCTCTCTCGGTCTTGTTTTTTTTTTTTTTTATACACACGCAGCTTTATACAGTTTTTCTCTTTTCTCGTCGTTTTTAATAGTCGTCGTGTGTAAATTTACATACTATAATATAAGTGTAACGATATTTTACGTAGACTCGCACTTAGAAAGCAACGCCCAGGCAGCTAGTGATTGGTCAAGTGTGAGCTTTTTACAATAAAACGCTTCTTTCTTTCTCTCCTTCTCCTTCTCCCTCCCCCGAGACCCTCCTCTTTTTTTCGTTACCGTAACTACAGAGAAATATACAAACGCCGCCGAACGTACTTACACCGATATTTGTTATTAAGAAACATCTGGGGAGAGATTTTGTGCATGATTATGTTGTGGAGACGCGTCAAATGCGCTTTTTGTTTTGTTAATTAAAACCGCGTCGCGTTTTTATTCCAGCAGCCAGGAAAAACGCTGCTTGCGAACAAGCGTGTAACTTTCTTTGTTTCTTTTTTTTCCGCGAATTGCTCGTTTCGTTCGCGTGGGAAACGTCATTATTGCGAAGTGAGTAATTTTAACACACGCGGTTTCTTCACGTGACCGAAATAATCTAAATTCGCGAATCGCGCGTAACGATTCTCTCTCTCTCTCTTTTCCTCTTTTTTTTGCCTACCTACTTATAAAAACCTCTAAATTTTGTCGCGCTCGCGAGTTGAAGGGGACACGAGTGAGACTCTTTCTCCCCCTCCGGCAAGTTCGTAAATCGGCTATAAAGTCGCTGATATAATTTTGCAGCACACCGACGAGAAAGTGTGTTGCCGTGTGTTGAGCGATCCCATCTATTGTTCGACGCGCGATCGAAAGTGGTTCGACACAACCTTTGTGTATGTGTGTGTGTGTGTGTGTGTGAGTTTCTGCGTGCTATTTGCGCCTACCTAGTCGATCTATGTAAAACCTATTTGTCTCTCGAACCACAAAACTCTTCCGAGATTTCCTTTCGCGCGGTAACTTTCTCGTTTCTTTTTCTTACACTCTCGAACTAACGAACTAACGATCGTCGTTTTCTGCCAAACGGCAGAAAAATCATTCGGTTGATTTCGTTTGGTACCGTACAAGCTATCATCGCTATATATAACTATGATATATAATAGTACTCAAAGCACCCTTCGAATTGTTGTTGCAACGCTACGTCTCAGTATTATGGAATTGATAGAAAATATAATTAAAGGCGGACGAAAAAAAAATAAAAATAAAAAAAATCTCGCGCGGGAAAAACGACCTAAGTCACGTGTGTGTGAAATTTTTTCGCAAACGATCGGTTTTTGACGACTTCAGCGGTAATTAAAATCTCTCTCTCGCGCGCGCGCACGGAGAACGCGCGAGCGTCGTTTTCGCTTTCGTCAGTGTATTTTCATCTCTCACTCTCGGCGGATTCGTTAGCTGGCGTCAAATCGCGGCATTTTTTCTGCTTGTGTCATTAAGACCGAAGATCAGAAATCTCGTCGAAACATATCGTCTTTTTCATTATAATTTGGTCGTGTCACACGTTTCGAGAAAAGTGTTGTCGACATTATCGGATTCAATGTCGGGAGATTCCTCGAAAAATTGCAACGTGGTCTCGATTATTGTCTGTCCCGGACCGATATGTTGGCTGCGCGGGATTTTGTTTTATTTTATTTTTTTTGTTTTTAGTTTTTTTTGTTGTGTGTGTTTTAACGAAGCGATCGCAGCTTGAGCCTCAGCATGAAGTAGACGATCACTCTAAGACCGAGCAGGAAGGCGAGCAGGGCGACGACGTCCACCCAGTAGTCCGCGTTCTGCATGGACATGTCCTCGAGGAACTTCTTCGGATTCTTGTAGTGGCAGTAATCCTTGGGACATTTGAGCTTCGCCCGGTTGTGGCCGTACGCGGAGATCATCGCGCCCTCGAAGCCGTACCTCATGTAACTCACGTACGAGAGGAACTTGAGGTATTTGGGAATGGCGTCGAAGTTGATGAAGAAGCCGGAGAACAGAACGATCGGCACCGAGAGCACGGGTCCGCTGAACACTCCGGTCTGCGGCGAGAACAGAGAATCGGAGAAGATTATTAATTTGCTCTCGATATAATCAGCCAAGATCGATCTCACGTGAATTGCGTGATTACCTCTATGTTCATCGCTGCTCCTATCAGCAGACCGATAGATTGTGCGACTAATGATGTCAGAACGCATACGTTTAAGTACATAAAAAAGCGGTTGGTCTCCAATGGTTGCGATGTAAGGAAGTACACGATTATCACGTAGGCTGTGGAGTATATTATCTGCAACAATTAAATTTAATTGAATCCGCGTGAGTCGCCAACCACCGAACTCGCTCGAACGACCGAGCCGGTCGATTAATCGGTACGGTGCACGATAACATGGTACTCACCTGAAACGGCACGTCCGTTAACGTTCTCGCGAGATAAAAAGATTTCAACGAGTACCAGTAATTGAGGTGTTCTCTCACAAAGACCGACATTTCCATTGGAACTGCGGAAAAAAAGAAAAAATATTAGAATAATAACATCTCGATTCTCGCAAAATCTACGAGGCAGCACGCGAATTGCTTACATGTCAATATGGTAGGCATCATCGCGGTGAACATGAGAAACATCACCGTGAAGCAGACGCAGCCGGCGTTACTCCTCATCTCCGAGGCGTCGTCGCCCATGTCGTAATAAAGCGCGCCGATCAGCAGCCCGACGATTATGTGCGAAATCAATCTCACTTTGGTCAGTGTCTGACGAGGGGTGAAAAAGAAAAGTCAGTTATCTCAAAGAAATGAAATTATCTCTCGCGCTTGCATTTTTTCTATCGCTTCGATTCAACTCTTCTAGAAACGAACTCTCACCATATCTCGCATCTGCGACAGAAAGGTTCTCTTGAGCAGTATCCAGAACTGCAGCAACCCGTTTGTCGGGAAGCCGACCTCCTGCTCTATACTCTCCGCGCTGTCCAGCAGCGACGTTGTGCAGGAAACCGGTATGGTGATCATCGTCGTAGCGCTGGCCGACGTCTTGGCGACTCCGTTCGGTATCAAAGCGGCGGCCTCCGACTTGGTTTGGTCCTGCGGCGATTCCTTGGCGATGTCGTTCGAGACCGCGTTCTGCGACGCGGCGATGGCCGCCTGGTGATGCTGGTAATTGTTGCACTTGCCGTTGTTCACGGCCATCACGAGCTTGTGAACACACTCGCCGTGCTCCCCGCAAGCCACCTCCATCACTGCACAGAACAAGGTTTTGTTGACACATTTAAATTCATTTCGCGTGAGATAATTTTCAAGATCGCATTGACGTAAAGTCGACAATCGAGTGTGTCAGTCAAGCGTGATCGTAAAAGTACTTGCCGTAATCCGCCGGGTTGTGGTAACTCGGACACTCGAGGCCCATCGACGACAGGAAGGGCACCAGACCGCCGACGTTGCCTTGATATATGCACTGGCCCTCGGCAAGCAGATAGAGATGATCGAACATCTCGAACAGTCGCGCGCTCGGTTGGTGAATTGTGCAGATAATCGTCCTTCCTGTAATCCCGCCACATAAGCGACTTCGTGTTCAAACAAAGATTCTCTGGAAGATCGTTTGTTGTCGCGAAATTTATTTATACCTCCTCTGCTCAGGGATTTGAGCAAACTCAGACACTGGAAACAGGAAGAACTGTCCAAGCCGGAGGTCGGTTCGTCGAAAAACATGACCGGCGGATTGTTGACGAGTTCCAGCGCTATCGACAGCCTCTTTCTCTGCCCGCCGCTGAGACTCTGGGCTTGCGTATTGCTGGCCTCGCGCAGACCGAGCGTCTCGATGATCTCCTCGATCTGCATTTTTCAAGAAACCAGCTCGTAAAACACATCTGGATTGTGTTCTCTTAGAAATTCTCGAGGAAAAAGTGAGAGAGAGAGAGAGAGAGAGAGAGAGAGAGAGAGAGATGCAATTTATATCTCGTACCACTTCTTTCTTAGCAGTTGCGCTCATGTCCTTCCCCAACTTGAGATTCGCCGAGACGGTCATCGCTTCGTAAACGGTCAGGTGCGGCAGCAGCCGATCGTCCTGCATAATATAGCAGGACATCTTTCGAAACTTTCTGAGATTTCTGTCCTTGCCGTTTATCAGCACCGAGCCGCTCAGATGAGACGTTCTGAGAACATCACGAGAAGGCGATTGAGGCGCGCGCTTCCCACTCTTCTATTTTTATCGCGATTATTTCTTTATTTTTTTTTAGTATTATACGCGTGTTGTTTTACTCACTTGTATCCCGCTAAAACGTTCATGAGCGTGCTTTTGCCGGCGCCCGACGGTCCCATAATAGCCGTCAGCTCGCTAGATCTGAACTTTCCGTTCACGCATTTCAAGATGGTTTTGTATCCTACAACGTAAACGAGGAAAAAATCGAGAGGTTCAGTATGAGACAGAAATATTTGACGTGGTCGAACATTTATTTGTCAATTAGGTCGCTGCGAATTCATCGGATACTTGTTTTTTTTTTTAAATTATACGTCGTGTGGATTATAAAATAGATTCTTTATTACGGAAAAAACACGAAGACGCTATTTTCCCATTGCGTCAATATTAAAACGTATGTCGCGACGATACGAGCGTTGTTTTATAAAAGGAACCATAAATGTTACAATTCTGGCGCGGTTGATTGCCAAAATTCTCACGACAAATCTTGCCAAATTCGCCGGAGATCAGAGGAGATCAAATATTCGTTACAAAACTTCTGGCTGACCCCTTTAACACCGGTGCAGTCGCACCGACGCATCTGCGCCGAAACGGGTGGGAACCTGCAGCGGCAGCCGCGTGCATTTCTATCGATTTTTTTACTTAGGTTGTTAACACACGTTGACAAACGGTCAAAAGCCTACACGAACCGGAAGAGGTTTCTTCGCAAGGTGTCGATTCGCCACTCCAACCCTCTTTCCCGACACCGTCACTTTGACGTGTTGAATTATCTACGTGTCTCTGATCAGCGGCGACGATGAAAATCAACGCGCTGACAAACATTTTTGCGCTTTTCCAGCTTTCTTCTTGAAAAAAAAAAAAAGATAAAAATCTCGCCGATAAAATCATCGCGGCTTAAAACAACAACGACTTGATAATCCGGCGCGACATAACAAACGGGAATAGATCCTTTCATCCGGAACGTGAGACGACGATTTTTTTTCCGAAACCTACCCCTCTTTCTGCCCTCGGACACGCTGTAGGCCAGGTTCTTGAACTCTACGTCGACCGGCGGCCTCTTCGGCAAATGGGTCAGCGACACCGCCGGCCTTTTGTTGCTCTGTCCGGGACTTGCGCTACTGTGGTTCGGCACCTTTCTGGCGAGAACACCGCCGGTGCACATCGCGGCGCCGTTTGACGTGGCGTCTTTGCAGCTGCAGTGCAGGTTGTTCTGCGAGCCACTGTAAAGAAAAACAGACAATTACGTTTCTCCGTCAATTACACGCAAACTAAACTTTGACTAACAAACAATTCAACAAAGATAATATTTTGAAAAAAAAAGAATTAAGAAAACAAGCTTTAAATATTACATATTAAAAAATAAAATAGACCTAAAAGCTTTAGATTGGCTGAAGATGATCAGAACAAATGATTGAAACGTCTCAAAGTGTTTTTTTTTTTTTTTTAACTTTTAATTTCAATTAAATTTCATTAACCAACGATGGACCGCGGCTTTTACGTTTATTTCAATTTTTAATATTTCCACAAAATCCTTTGTTCTCCCATCAAACGTTTTGATCTCGTTGCCGCCTCCACTTTGCACGCGTACAAAATTAAACCGAATGCAGATTTATACGTTGTGCGTGCGTTAAAATGGCAAGGTTGCGCGTCGATTTATCCGTGGAGCAAAGTGGGTTTCCGTGCAAATGAGAAACGCTTTTTCCCGAAAATGAATTCGCGATTATAATCCGCTAAACGCGATTTGTAAACCGGATTGAGAAAGAAAAAAGAAAAAAGAACAATGACGGTCGTGTAACAAACACACCCGCGACTACTCGTCATTTTAATGTGGCAATTCGCAGTCGGTACGTAAGCGCCATCAAATTCTGTTAATTAATCCTCTGGTGCTGAATAAGTAACGAGAAACCAACACGGCCTTCGGGCGTATGTGTAAACGTTTTATTGAACGACGTGAAAACGGATTCGAATCTCGCGTCGAGATTATTCCGCAACGCGGAATATTTAGTTCACCGTGCGTAACGTTAATCAAAGTTTAATTATTTGTTGCGCGCGCGTGACGAACACTCGAGACGAGAAATTAACGAAGAATCCTTGTGTCCCGCATCTCTTCGCGACACGTGTCGTCGCGCAAGCGCGTCCTATAATATTGTAATATTTGTGTTACAAATCTCGCGCGCTATGGTTTTGATCGCGATTTTGCGCGTAGCGTTTTTTTCGCAATTTATTCGATTAGGACTCGCATTGTGTTTCGTATGTTAATTTTTTTAATGTTAATTTTTTCATTGCTGTAGGCGCCTGTGTGCGCTCAACTGACGCTAGAAGCGCTTAAGGGCGTTCGATATTTATTTTAGTAAGTATTCATATATTTTTATACTGATGTAATTTGGTGTCTCGACAACTTTTATACTTTCTGCAGAACTTTTATACTTTGCGCGCCAGCGAAAAGTTCCGCCGCAACGAGAAAGGGTTAACCTTCTATAATCCGACTTCTTTTAGTGAGTATAAAAAATTTATAGAACATAAAACCAAGCAAAATATCAACCTTTAGATATAAATTAACAAATTTACATTTTTCAAAGATCTTATTTTTTTGTGACAATTGCGATAAACAATCTCTATCTTAGAATATCGATATATGTGACGTCAAAGTTACACAGCGTTACAGAGAGTTAAAGAGAATAACAAAGAACAGCGCGGCATAGAAGTAGTTTGGTTGTTTTTGCCGCGTACTTTGGCGTACAGTCGCACTAAATTCGCCGCCGTCGAAAAGCACATCTTCTGCGAGCGATTCTCAGAACGACTTCGAGTTCTCCGTATTCTCATCATCTCGCTCATCATCTCTCATTGACCGTCGTCATTTCTCTTGTTAGTCTAAAAAAAGTGGTCGAATAGAATTCAAGTCGCTGAGCGAATTCCGAGGAAAATGCGAACGTTTTAACATATCGCTCCGTAAAAATCGTCGGACGGTACTCAGGTGTAATTTGTTCGCGCGCGATGTATTGTCGAATAATAAAAATAATATCACATATATCTCACGGACTCTTTTTCGATCGATTGCCGCGTGTTTCTTTGCACGAGAGAGAGTCGCCAAGTTTGACACAAATGTCTTCCGCCAAGTTTTATCGCTCACACAAGTCGCTCCTCTTCGCGCTATGTCTATCGATTTCTCACGACGCGCGAGACTTAATACTTAAACTATTCGTGAAACTTTAAAATACTATTCAGCATCTACCGCGTCGCGTTCACGCCGTGTCGTGATAATAAAAATGTCCGGACTCGCTCGCGCGTATGTACAAGCTGAATCGCGTCGTTTGCGCGCGATTACAAAGGAAAAGAATATTCCACAAGTTGCTTTTTCACGCGAATGCAAAACTGTGCAACGAGATTTTATTCTACTTTTATAAAAAAAAAAAAAAAATGTTTCTTGAGCGCGCGAGAGAAGCCCCTTGTGCGTCGTCGATCTATGCTGCGTTGCACAAGAAAGGAAGCGATCCTTCCATTCACTCGCGGCTGACAATGAGTCAAAGAAGTTCCGAAGAAAAGGACACGTGCTGTCCGGTGCGTTACCGGTGCGTTCGCACTCGGATGACTCGGTCCCCTCAAAGAAAACGGAAGCCGAAACGGGCCGCGATATGCCGACGCATTGTTTCTTGATGAGGAAGTTTTTTCCGAATCAAATGAGACTCGCACACTGTGCGCGCGCGACAACAAGGAAATCTCGTGTCACGTTCTTCGATATGACGAGTTTTCTCAAGTTTTTGGAAAACGTTCGATCTCGGAGCCTACGAGAAAAGGTCAAAAACCTTGACCGTGATTGTTCGCGCGGACCTTGAAATTAGTATCGATTAATATCGATTGTCATTCCGCACGTAGTTTCTCGACGTATAAAAGTTTCTCGATACGCGGAATAATATCGTCGCCGCGCCTCTCTGTCTCTTTCCTTTACGAACTTTCGATCGCTCACCGAGTGAAATTTAAATAAAGTCAGTTATGAATCGCATTGATTCTATATTGCTTTCTTTCGGAGCTACAAGGTTTCCCAGATAGAATTTCTCTCACATCTACATTTTCTTTTGTTCCGTAACTTTTACATCGAAAGATCTGCGTATGCGGTATTTATATTTCTTTGTTTTTTTTTTGTTCTTTTTCTTTTATTTTATTGACAAGCAGTAGCAACGCTTCTCTCACCCGTGAACCGCATTGTTGAGACTGTCCAAATGCAAAGAAGGTGGCGGTGATTTGATCGTCACTTGATGACTGCTCCCGCCTGCCGGGATAAATTGCACCTGTTCGTCGCCGCTGTATTTGGACGTGCCGCTCAGACCGAGAGTCTTCAGATCAGCCATCATCCGACAATACTGGAACACACACGGGACGTTAAATACAACAACAATTCCACAGTTTTTTTTCAAATTATCAATTTCTTTCTCAAATATCGCATGCGACATTGGTTTCTAACTCTGAGAGAAGTAACAAGGCTAATAATTGAAAAAAGAATCACGCGCCGGGTGATACGTGCGAAATGCGTTTAAAATGTAAATTAATTTATACACATTATAAATAAATAAATTAATTCGATTTAATTTTTCATACGCGTTTGGTTCGCGCACATCTCGCATGCAGAAATAATCCCTAGCTTTACCTCTCTCCCGCGAGAAAATTTAATTTGAATAAATCATTGCGACACGCAAAAAATCCTGACAAGGAGAGTCCACGAACTTTTTTCTCGCTCTTCTCTGCGGAATAACGAATTATTATTATTATTATTATTTTTTTTTTTTTTTTTTTTTTTTTTTTTTTTTTATTGCGCGCGCTGAACTTTATTCCGAGCTAGTAGAGCTCGAAGAAGAAGGCTCGGGGAAAACGTTAAGCAGCCTAATTAAGTGATCTGGAACCGAGTGCGGTACCGGGAATTTCATTGGGGCATTTCTTTGCGCAATTAAAGTAACGCCTCTCTTGAATCTTTTCGCGTCGTCTGAGAAGAATCGCGCGTCCCCCATCAACGCGGCAACAACACTTCTTTCTGTTCATTCTCGTCTTATCTATACGTCCTACGCTAATTGTTAGTCAAACGCGGTCTGACGCATGGTGGTGACGTTGCGCCGCTCGCTCGGCGCATTATCATCGAGCGCATATATCGGAGTTTTATAAATCTCGACGACTTTTCTCAACCGTACGTATCAATCGAAACTATTTTTGTGGAGACGAATAAACAAAGATGAGAAACCGAGAGGTTTCAATTATTTAAGAGAACCGGATTAAGAAGAACGGTCTTTAGGGAGTTTTTGTCTATCGATTCGACGACGGTTTATTTTTCACGCCACGTATAAATTCCATACATTGCAGTGCATCGGAGAAATCATCATACGTTATTTTTGCAACCTACAACACACCGGCGGCGTTAGAGTTTTATTTCGACGACGATTTTTTGCAAGTTTTTTCCTCTAGAGAATTTCTCACAAATGACGAAAAGTATTTCATTAATGTTTCGTTAATGGTTTTTTTTTCTTTTTTTTTTTAATTACACACATTCGTCGAACGCGAGTGCGCCGCTTCGCGGGTGTGATCATCATTCGCGCGGTGCAACTTTACGTACACGCGGTGCATTACATAGTAAACACGTTGCAGTGAGAGCCGTTGATCAACAAAAGACGTAATACGTGGCGGCGTTTAATGCGTTTTTTGCGCGCGCGCGCGAACGTAATGCGCGAGATACAATATCGAAACTGATATTGAAAAAAAAAAAACAAATCGCGCTTCTTTCCGCGCTTTGTTAGATGCACAAAATCGGACGGATAGTGGTAAAAATATCTTATCTCGCGTTGTTATCGCGCGATGTTGCGTGCAATACGAAGTTTCGAAGTTCTTTCTTTCTCTTTCTCTCTCTCTCTCTCTTGGCGAACGGACGAAAATAAACGGCGGCTAAAAATTCTTATCAACGCTTTTGTGCGCGAATTATCAATGCAAATCGAGAAAACGATATTGCGCGCAACACACTCACCGACGAATGTTTGCACCGGAAGCAACGGAGTTGCTCTCAAGCGATGCGGGCAAAATGCGCGCGTGACATCGTTTTGCTCCTGATACACATATAATACAATTGACGTGCGCACGTCATCATTCGCGTCAACATTACTGCAATTAATTTTGGAGTAAAAAGCGAGAAACGAACGACTATATAAACGTGTGTATGTGTGTCGAAAACGAAGAAGAAATCTGATGCGCGATTCGCCGCTTGCGTCATCATCATTGTTGGCGACAAATGTACAACTTTGAAAAATACGGATTTCTTCTCGGGAGAGGAAATAAGTAAGAGAGAGAGAGAGAAATGCGCGATCGTAATGTCAGTATTATTTGGGACGTTTCTCTCGTCTCGAGAAGAAGACACCGTTCCTGCATCGCGAACTTCGCTCTTGATTCTCCCGATGAAAACGGATAGTGCGGGACGTCGCGCTCAATCTGTAATTGCCGCTCACAACAAAAAAAAAGAGCGAAAGATACAATCAAAAATAAAAATTGAAAGATGTGTGTAAGGGAGAAAAAAGGGATAAAACTAAAATTTGCTAAGTTTAAAAACCTCGCAGTCGGAAAAAAAGGGAACTGCGATTTTGCGCGTGAATATCCGAACGAGGATCGAGGCTTGTGACACGTCGTATAATTTCTAATACGTCTTTTACACACACACACACACACACACACATAGAATTCGCGCGCGCGCGCGCGAGTGGGATGCGATTCTCGCGCGTTTTTTTCGCGCGCGCGAGGGAAGCGCGAGAATCGAAGAGATCGATTTTTGAGGCGCTGTAGTGTGCGCCGTCAGTTATTCACCCACCACGCCCGCGCCGGCTCTTCTTGTTTTTCCGGGGCGTGCACGTGTCTGGAATTACGTCGCGTGTGCGTGATACATGACGGCGAGGCGGATGCATTTTGCACACACCTATGCAACGACACATTGCTGTGGCCGCACAGCTGTGTCAGCAACCCATCCTTTTTTTGGCCAGATAATCGAAAGAGAAAAAGAGAGAGAAAGAGAGCAAAGGATCTCCGTTTTATCATTCGGAACGATCGACGTTCCAGAATCTCGCGGTCGGTCGCCGCCGGGACGATTGTTCTTTTGTTTGCGCAGCTAAACGTCCCGATCGGACCGGAGGCGATAGACGCTTGTCGTTGTGTCGTTCCGGGGCTCTCTTTAATTAAATCCTCTGCTCGCAACAGAATCAATTCTGCAAGTCTGATAAGGTGCTCGCCGCCGGTAAAGTGCGTATATATATGTGTGTGTGTGTGTACGTACGAAAGAAAAAACGAGAGAGATTCTCTCGTTTAGCCGCGGAAACGCCGCTGACAAATTGTGAGACACATTGTGAGATAACGGGGGGACACATTTGGACGGATTCTCCTAATGAGCTTAAGCGTCTTTAAAAGTCATGTCTCGCGTATCAAAATCAAATGACAAATGTTCTTTCTCTCCCGGACTTACTCGCCGGCGACTTGTTTGTCGCAATAAAACTTCAACTGACCTGGTAAGAGGTACTGTGTTTTTGTTGTCTCTTAAATAACGTTAGTTAACACAATGTTGCGTTAATGACTTTGTTAATGACTTTGCCAATTTCTCGACAACAACGTGGAAGACGAGGATTTTAATTTGCGTGTGACTTGCACTCGTTTTCCCGCCGATAGAGAGAGAGAGAGAGAGAGAGATTTCAATTTGTACTTTGTACATTGTGTCGTTTATTGTGGAGATGTTTAAGCGCGTTATTGTGAATTTTATAAAAATACGAGCTCATCATCGGCAATTGTCTCAAATGAGCTTGATAGCGTCGACGATTCCGATGGTTAACAAATGACAAATGTGTGTCAATCTTTCTCGATTTATTGCACGTGCTCGATACAATCGGACTTATTACACGTCTTGTTGTTGCTGATCGAGACGTCGTCTCGTTGAGTGCCGTATCAATTTTGCCACTTATTAAACAGCTCGCGAGCGCGTCGCGATTTCGAGTTTAGAAAAGCGCTTATTCATTGCGTTCGTTCTACGTACGTGAAAAAAAAATATATATCGTGCGAACAAATTGCTTTTACGAGGCTTTCTCGTTTTATGTTTAGAAAACAACAAATTTATCAACATTTTTCTACTTAAAAATTAAACGTTTCTATTTTCTCGACGATATATTTCATTTGGAAACATTGCAATTACAGCAATCGCTCGAAACGTTTCGACCGTCTTCTTCAAAATTGATATGTTGCAGTTATATTTGATATACAGTTTTAAACAAAAAAATATTTGTAGCAATATATTGGAGCTTTTCGTGTTTTACACGTTTAGTTAACGATTCTATTGTCGTTTGCTGTGTTGTACACAAAGCAAACAAAAATATTGCTTGCTTCTTTGCTTACGCGCCCTCGGTGAAAGACTAAAATCTTAAATCTTAACGAACGTAATATACTAACAATAATAATTTAATTTTTTATGACAAATAATTTTGTAATAAAACGCGCTGTAATTGTATTGTAAAAATCTCTCAGCATAAACAACAGCGCACTTTCTCTCGTGTAACGATAAAAAAAAAGATAACGCCGCGGCGGCGGGCGCATCTGCGTGAAAGTTCCGCGGTGATACAAATGATTACACCGCGGGAATAAAATGAAAGAGATGCGCGCAGCCCAATGTAATTGCGTTATCGACAGTTGCGCGTTGTTGGTAACAACAGTCTTTGATCCTCGCCGGAGTGTGTGTACGCGGTCGCGTGATGTTATTCGTAATCCCGAATTCATTCAAGACGCGAATGTTGCGTGCGAAGTCGCGAATTCTCTTGTTCGATCGCTCGCTCGCGCTAAAATTGCACCGCGCGCGCACGACAACGTAACGTTTAATCGCGTATTCGTCGAATTGCATCGCGCGTTTTCTGTAACAAGACAGACCTATATCTCTCTACGGACGTAAAAGCGTCCGGAAAAGTGACATGTTGATGACCGCGGGGGACCGAAGTTGTATATATGCGCTTACTATCACCGTGCAAGATCAGTTCATTTCGTCGTTCGGGGGCACACAAATGTGACGACATTTCATTCCACACGTCACGTTACTAACCTTGCGTTAATCTTACGATAATGCACTGCCAATTAAGAATATAATTTATATTAAATATAAATATTTATAAACAAATAAGTATAAATATATTTTAAAAAATTATTTGTATTTGTAAATATTAAAATATTACAAAATATTTATTATATTAGATATGATATAAAACTTGTATAGATATAATTTGTATAAATATAATTACCGAGCGTGTCAATATAGAAATCTGTTGTGTGTATTTTTTAACACACAAGGTAACTTCACTTGTCGTAATTTTTAGTTAATAAATAACACAAATTACACACGGTCCGATCTTCGTCAGTTCGGAGTTCGGTTCACTGTGCGTTGAAACAAGTTCGATATTAATTAAATATAATTAAAGAGAATCGGCAACAACCTCTGTCGCGTTATCAAATAAACTCGTCGTTAAATAATTATCCCTCGCAGTTAATAAATAATAACACAAATTATTACATGGACCCCCTCATCTGGTCCGGAGTTCGGGTTCACGGAGGTTCGCAACTTACTTCTCTTTTGGAACGAAGTGGGTTCAATTAGCGTCGCGACGTCCGAACTCATACCACGGCGATGACGTTCCTCATCTTCCCCTGTATCAAACACTTTCGAGAGATAGGGAGAGAGACGTGTGTGTGTGTGTGTCAAAATGATCGCGGGATTGCACTGGCTTGCTCTGCTGAATTCTGATTCACTGAACCAAGGATACGTTACGCGATTCCACCCCGCGCATCGACTTCCTACGTTGTCGGGAACACACCACCGCTTTCAACGTTTCAGATTCGGGACTCGCTCATCAACACGAACTCACGTCGTAAAAGGAAAATCCGATCGATGCGTCGTGCGAACGACGCGTGCACACGCACCACCAGGTGATCTCTCCCCTGGAGATCGGAGATCAGGTCAGGCTGAACGTAACCGAGCGGATCCGCGCTGCTACTGACAAGGGAGAGCGCCGTCACACTACTGCGATCAGCTGTCGAGTTATGTACCTCTTACTCCGAGCCGCCGACGATGACAGCGAGCGAGCCAAGCTCGAGAGTGGTGAGGTCCAGGGACGACGCGAGCGACGGTGAATTCACAGATCCTCTATTTCATTGTTTGTCGAGTGTCGTGTACAAGAAACAAATAAATTCGAGAACCGAGAAATAATAGATAATGATAGATTGTAAATTTTTATTGAATTAAGTATTTTATTTATTATACACATAGTAAGTATGTTATGTTTTATATTACACAGTCGTGATTTTTATATATAAAATTAGTTCACATAATCGCCTAAATGACTGGTGTGTTCAATGTTGTTTAAGTTGCTACAAAATGTTTGTAATTATTAACAAGACACGCGGAGAGGAAAACAAACTACATATGTGTCTGTTGGTTTCTTTTTATATTAGTGAAGTGTCTCGTTGGTTTTGCGTCTCATGCTTACTTCAAAGTCAAGGATTCTGATTTTCCTCGTTCTAATTTCTATTGTAACGCATTCGCGGCGAATAAAAATGAACTTCAGACGACGTTGAACGAGTGTGTCGTGGTTAACTCATTTATAGAAGTAACTATTGCACGAGCGTCGAGCGCGTTCAACAAATTAATTATGCGCGTACGGGAGAAGTGTGGAAATTATGTGTAGCTGTACTACAAGGATCAATCTTCGTTACGAGAGCAGTGTCGAAGATCCGATGTACTTTCAAGGATTACGCGCGACATATATAATTTCTCGTAACGCTACACGCTGCATCATTGTTTTTCACATCCACACGAAATTCCGTGCGCGCGCCAAGGAAACCTAAAGAACGTGACTAAAAAGATTCCTGTAACGCAGTTCCTTGTAATTGTGATGATTCAGGATAGTGACACGCGGCTTGCGCGGATTTCCACCGCTTGCTTGCAATAAAATAATTGTAACTTGTGCATGGTGGAGAGGAAAATCACCGAGTGTTCGTGTCGTCAGCTCTTGAAAAACAATGATATAATTTATACATTTTTTTTCATACATTTCTTAACGCAAAACTCTAGCTTTATGTGTCAACATCATTTAACTTTGTCTTTGATAAAAAAAAAAAAAGAAATCAAGTGGCTATATTGCACAGAGAACGACCGTTTTTTTCGCGGTGGAAACTTTTCGAGAATTTTGTACAGGGTGCCGTGCGCTCGTCGCACACTGTTGACTCTCTCGCGCATGCACGACAAAGCCACGGCACAGCATACAGTCGGGATTTCCGCGGACGTTCGCTCGAATAGCGGCCTTACGAACGGTACCTCTAGGAGAGCGCGCGAGCGCGGAACGGCGCGATAGAAAACAGAGGTAACTACGTAATATCTCTCTCTCGCGCGCAAGAGAGAGAGAGAGAGAGAGAAGAGAACACGTCGGAGAAAGGAGAATGAGCTCCCACATGCCGCGGGTCGATACTCTGGCACCGGCTCGCCCTCGTGCTCTTGCTCGGTGCATTTGCACCGACGCGAGTGCGTCCGCACCGAGTCGGCAAAACCAAAGGCTATTCGCCTGGCGAACCTGAGACAACGGGAGCGACAGGAGAATCCGAGTTTCGTATGCGAGTGAGCGAAAGACGAAGCAAGCGGGATGAGAAAATTCGCATGAGGACAGTCGCACTTAGAGCAAATGAAGGATCGAAGATTTAGATTTCGCCGTGACGCAAGTGTCACGTTCCGTGTCATTCATTTTCTTCTCGTCGTCTGTCACTTTCGGAAAAGTATATACTGAGAAAAGTGTATATTGGTTGAGTGAAAGAGGATTTTTCTCGCGACCGAGAAAAATGGATCGAGTAATTTGACTGAAAATGGTTTCGGTGTATTCTGCGCAACAGCGAATGAAAACAATGGGAGGACTACTTGGTAGATTGGAGAAAATCGTTTTACTTGGCTCATAAAATTACTTGGTCCATTTTTCTATCAAAAAACTTTTAGTCGCTCAATATTTCGCGTAGCGCACATTTGACAACAATCAATTCAGGGATGCACAAGTTGTCTGTCTTCGCATCTTATTGTTATTTATATAAAAAAATAGGAAACTTTTTTTATTAGCAAAAATATTTACAGTTGAGAAGAATCGCGAGAAAGTTGAAGTCGTTGATCTTTCTCGCCTCGCCGTTTAATGGCTGAAAATTGATGCTCTCGATTTGTAGTCGCTTGTTAACGTTTCTAGGAAAACTGAGAAATGGACTTCGTTCCCGAGCGAGGTCTTTCGACTCGCTTGTTCATTCAATTCCGCGTTACTCTTGTCGTGTAATTTATTATCCGTACGAGTCTTTTGGACTTTCGAACGTTTTGCGATCGATCGCCGCGCGGGATCGTCTGCTATTTTATCCTCCTTCCGGCAAACTTCGCACTTGTGCGAACTTGAGAACAACATCAAGTTCTCTTGCTCCTGTCAACCTTTGCATTCGATAGTGCCGCGACGCCGCGTTGTCCGGCGATGATGACATTCTGCATAAAAAAATCGTCACTCGACAACACGTCGATTTTTCCGATCGAAAAAAAAACGACAAATCCGTCGAAATGAAATCCGCGCTAACGAGAGATGACAATCGGAGCGACGACGTGTAGATTTTTGAAATGCGATTTGCGTCATTTTTCTCGGTTTAAAAGTTCTCTGGGTCTTCTTTTTCAAACGATCTGATACGATTATTATTCCTGAAATTTTTTTTTTGTTCGGAACTGAAAGAAAGAACGCGCTCCGTGTGGAAAAAAGTGAGGCGCGTGCACATCGCGAATAGAAAGTTTCCTAGTCGGTCTAAGCCGATTTCTTGAATTGCTCGTTAAGAGGATTTCCCCGTTAAGTCGCCCGAAAATTTATTTCGTGCCCGATTAGAAGAAGCATCGCGACATTTCACGAACGAACGAATAAAGGTGTTTCACGGAATTTCCTAATCGGAATGCAAACGTATCGGATCTTCTGAGAGGAACTGGCGCCGCGGAATTCCTTGTTTCTTTGAGAGGAACTTCGCAAATGTGCGTGAAATACGAGAGATCGAAGTTCACATCGCTCAGTGTTTCATACTCGTCGTCCGGTTTCCGTCGTGCTTGTCAGTCATTTCTCCCGGTACGCGAGCACCGGGGCGACGATAGAAATTCGCGTTTTTTTGCGATGACTTTATGACCAACGACCTCGATCTGTCACGCGATTTGTTACGCTCGACTAAATCACGTCTTTGTTCTCGATGCGAATATCGTTACGTTCGTCATATCAATCGATACAAAGCTTTCGTTCGATGACGCGAGTTAGATCTGCGCTCGCCGAGAAAAACGAGAGGTTCCCCGCCGAAGAAAAACGCTGTTGTCGTAATTACGGAGGCGCGCTGCTAACCTTCGCGTAATCGAACCGCGTCCGCGTGTCTCGTGATCGACGATTCTATTATTAGAAGTCACTCGAAATAACAATTTCTCCGTCGAAATATGAGGAGGCTGCGGGTAACGCTCCGCGCTCGAAAATCCGACACACATCGCGCGCATACGATTGGAACGCTCGATGTTTTTCCGTCATTACTCCACCGGTCGGACTACCGGTTCGCGCGAAGGTTTCAATTTCACAAAGACTTCCCTTCGGGGGGATCGAAAAAACAGGAACCGCTTTGCACGACTTTTTATGCCGCTCCCTTTCCGGCTGGCGTCTATTTCAACGCTCTTGTCCTCGTTCTTCTTCGGCGTCGAATTACTAGTTGTTGCGGAATTTTTCCAAGAGGTAAACTCGCGAAGAATTTACTCTCTCTCTCTCTCTCTCTCTTTTCGCGAGCGAAGAAAATCAACCGTGTGGTTTTTTACTGTGTTCGATCGCGCGCGTATACGATTTACGTAAGGGGGGTTCATTCCCGGTGTTTTTGTGTTTTGTTTTACCGCTCTCAGTCACGCGAACTATCGATTGTCGAACAAGTCCCCTCTTCCCCAAAAGTGTTGTGCGATTTGATCTATAAACTTCGACAGGCGCGCTCTCGAGACGCAGCTAATGACGATCGTCACTTTTGAAAGTCTAAGAAGAGTAAAACAAAAAAAATACACGTGAGAGCGGTTTTGAGATTGTCAATTTTTCGCGGAGAATTCGACGCGAGATGCGAATTAAAAAATCCGTAAAATCTGACAATAGAATTAGAGAATTTGAATTGCTTTTGTTCTTAAAAGTTGAACTGAATTTACGCCAAATTAACATTAACAAACAAATTGGCACAAGAACCGTTGCAGTTAGTAGCGCGTATAAAATTTTTTAAATTAAATTCTGCAAATTCTGCAAATTCCGCAATTTTGTAATACTGAAAACGTATAACGAAAAAGTTACTTGGTTTGAATGTTGTAAAACATATAACACAAACTCTTGATTCGCGAGCTTTAGTAATCACTTCGCGTAGCATCCGGAGTTGGGAGCCATCTCTTCTGACTATCTGGAAAAGATATACCTGACCTGGCGGATAATGCGCCACGATCCCTGACAAGGCCGTGAGTCAGCTGTGGAGTGCGTTGCACGCCTTCGATTCAAACGCGCTCCGGGTACAGCCGCACTCGTCCTAACACTTGGATCAGGAGAATACGCGCTCTCTCTTTTCCGCTTCCACAAGTGGATACACAAAGAACCGAAGCGGCCTTGGCACAGCCTCCCTTCCTTTGCACGTTTTAGTCGTTGTTCTTACTGCGTTGCAATGTTGACAATTGTTCGAACATCTGTATCTGTCTCAACTTGAAAATAAAAAGAGAGAAAGAGGAAGAAGGAAAAAGACTGTACGCACAAGATGACGCAATCTACGTGATATGTTAAACACGTAATGTTATAATAACATATTGCTTAAATAAGTTGTAAAGTTGATCGCACACATACATTGTGACAAAATTTTAAAAAATATTTTACAGGAATTTTTTATGCGTATGATTTATGTTATGCGTATGTTTGATTTTATGCATAACAATAACGCATGATTAGTACTGTGTATGTGAGCTCTTATCTGTGGGATTACTATTACTACTACTGCCATCAGATGTGAATTTTACTTACTCGACACGAACAGTGCATTAGCAACACCATACGGTACACGCGCACTTCAGCCTTGTGAGTTAATCATCTCTCGACAAAGAAAACCAGTTTTTAAAAATAATGTAATTTTTCTATCGTAAAGAAACAGGACTTGTAAGTAGATTCTTGTTATCTGCCGCTATCGCTAATATTATCTTTCTCGATAGAGCGTTTATTTTATTATATATGTATGTTACAAATTTGTCATTCAGTTGGACGAATAATAATAATACTAGAACATTAATAATTATTTTTTCAAGTAAGGAAACATACCGATAGGAAGATCAAAAGGTTTGTCGTTCCTGTCGGCAGATGGTAGCTCGTTACTTGAATGGCAATTGCCACACCCCGATAGCAAAACGTGCAATTGCACGCGAAGGCACACCGTGCAGTCACGGCGTGCGTTCACAGTGGCATCTCTGTGCAATCACTGCATGGAAAACGCCATCATAACCGCACAGAGAGCGCACGTGGTGAATCACAGCGCCGTGCCCGCACTGCGATGAAAATGCACCGTAACCGCCGTGGCATGTGTTGTGAACGGCCGCGTTCAACACAACAATTAGTGAGTTGTCTTGTCACCACTTGACGTTAATTTGTTTTGTTTTATAAGTATAAGAGCCAATTACGTTCGATTACTACAAAGCAGCTTATTCTAGTGAACAAAGGTATTGTACCGAAAGTGGGAAAAGTGACCAATAATAAAATAAGTGAAAAATATCATTACTAACTGTGTTTTACAGGTGGTATGTTTTGGCGACGTTATTCTCATTGTGGCAGTTGACTCAGGTAAAAGACATACAAAATATCACCAATAAATTTAAGTTTAAAGTGTATAAAAAATAGTTATTGGTAAAAAAATGTGTATTTTATAAAAATTTTTTATTTTTCAAAATAGATGATTTTCTAAATTTTTAAAATGTCGATCAGGCGACTTATGACAATGTGGTAAATATTATTTTTATTTTTCATATTTAATAAAAATTGATTGTATCAAAGTCTCTTCTTCATATGATATAATAATATTATTTACAGGTCAATTACTTCATCTATTTAGGTGGTATAAATCCCGTGGATTTTGCAGGACATTATTTTACATGTGCCTTTACTAGCGATATAGATATTTTATCTCATGTCACGTGGCTGGGTACAATTTATACGCTTTAAAAGGAACTCGCTTCGCCGAAGCATGTAAAGGTCACGTCTTTAAAAATGTTTTTTCACAGATGCAATGGCTAGAAATCGTGACTACTGTCGACCAACTAATATCGAGNTTGCTGAAGCAATGACTTGCGCTCTTAAAAGTTCAAAANAGAGGCNACNAAAACGTCAATTANTCGCGGATTTGAACAACCGACATCAGATCAGCAATCAGATAATCGACAACGTTGAAGAGAAAGACNGTCAAGTTCGTAGATGTCATGTGAAAAAAAGCAATCTCTGCCAGAGTTCACAGAATATCGCCAGAGTCAGTTGCTACCTTTCAAAGCACTGATGTAAGTTTAAGCATTTGTAAACTACATTAATTGTCATTTTGTCAACATATGAAAAAGTAAAAAAATCTGAAAAGTTTATATGGCTGCAATAATACAAAAAACATCAAGTTTGTCTTATCACTCGTCAAGTTTCAGCAAAACAAAAAACAAAACTTGTTTATCTGGCGTAATGCCAGACGTTCATTGTGTTGCCTATTATAATAAAATTACATGGAATTATAATTTACACTTTTTTTATTCAGGCTTCAGAAGATATTGAAAAAAATTCAGAGGTCGACAAGCAGGACAAGGACAAGCATTCGGATTATGATTTTATGTTGCCTATTATCTATTACAATAAAATTCCATTGAATTATAATTTACAGTTTTTTAATTCAGGCTTTGAAACATATTGAAGAAAATTCAGAGGTCGACGAGCAGGACAAGCATTCGGACTATGATCTCGAACCGTACGAGAAGTCAGTGATTGAGGAAAACCACTTAGAACAAGAGATTTTTAAGAGAGAAGAAACAAATTATGAGGAAGAAGACATTAATTATATTTTAACGCAGTCCGATCTCGAAAGAATCGACACATTGTCGACATACAAGGTATTATAACATATGTCATTATAATTCCTCAGTGTAGCAACAGATTGTTTAATATTTTTTTTTGTTATGTTTCACTAAACATAGCAAAACCATGAATCTGTCTAGGGAATTAATTATTCTTTCTTATAAATATTCCTTTTCCTGTCTTTTATATATCCTTACATATAATTCTTAGATAAGAATATATTTAATTATGATTGTTTTCATTACAGAAACAAAGAAAGAATTAAAATCGGTAACAACTATTATTTTTTTCTTTGTATCAGGGAATCTTTTGCAGGGATGTCGGAATATAATTAATGATTTTATTTTTATATGAAATTTATATATTTTTTACTTATATTTTATTTAAGAAATTTTAACTTACATATTTTAACTGCGATATATTTTATGACGTTTATAGTGTTTTCACTGTATGAACACTGATAAGCAATATTATGTCAACTCACATCGGTGTGAGTACAGATGCGAAGATTTTTGAAG